ATATAGCCATATTGTAAGAAGTAATTTTAATCATGTTTTGACAGGGCAATTTTTTATCACAGCATTGTCAGTAAAAATGTTTATGTTAGTTCACTGTTATTATCATTCATAGTGGTATGTTAAAACACTGCACATGTGTTGGAGATGAAAGCAGTACTTAAGGTTTTATGATTTAGTATTTATGGGAATTCGTTTGCAGATTGTCATCTCCTCCAAAGGATAATGGCATCCTGTGGTCTTGTCATCAAGTGCAATTTTCTTCTAATAGCTCTAGTGATTAAACCACAAACAAAACTATTTTCCATACTTCGGTGGTTCTTTCCTCCCTCAGACTTAGAGAAAGTTTAACAGTATCTATTTGGCGATAGCTTAGAGAACCTCAGACCAGCGTGTTAAGATTCTTTGTGGTTTCCTTTCATGAGATAATTTTGTAATTACATGCTAAATACACCTGCATCACTTCAATTTTTGTAAAGCAGGTGTGTCAACAAAGGATTTTTCTCGTGCCAGAGGAATATATGAGCCCTTAATACTTAAGGTGTAGTCAAATTATGACCCCAAGATGATGCAGATAACTTTTTCATGCAATCAGGAAACAGGTAATTTTAGCTTCTTTCTAAAGAGATTCTGATATTTTCTCTCCCATTTACATGCATCTATTCACTTGGGGAGACAGGAGGAAAACAGGAGGATGAAGAACAAGAAGACTATGATCCAGTCTTATTACAGCTAATGGGAAAAAATAGGATGAAGAAAAACAAGAAGAGATGATGGAAAAAGTTGAAATTACAGCCACCTCATTTTTCTTTATTGCAGGAGATATGGAGCTGCATATATTGTCTCTAGGTTGCAAATTGGCAACTAGCTATTAAAATCTTGCATTTGATATATATTAGAGCTATGAAAATGGCCACCAAACTATATTCATACCTCTGCTATAGTGCATGTAATTAGAAAGGATGCAATGGTGACCAAAATTTCTCTTGCTAAGTGAGACATTTGTTAAGTGAATGTTGATCTTCCCTGCCACAGTTGTTAAGTGAATCTCTGGAGTTGTTAAGCTAGTAACTCAGTTGTTAAATGAATCTGGCTTTCCAATTGAGTTTGCTTGCCAGAAGGTCACAAAATGTGATCACATAAATATGACTGTTTGCCAAGCATCTGAATTTTGATCATGTGAGCATGGGGATGCCGCAGTAGTTGTAAGTGTGAAAAATGGTCATAAGTCCCCTTTTTCAGTGCTGTTGTAACTTGGAATGGTCACTAAAGGAAATGGTCACTCTTGTAAGTCTTAAGATTGCCTGTACTTGCCTTGGATCTTTTGTCCTTGGATGTTGATAGTTTTTTTCTAATAAGGGATGCCATCTGTATCTTTCAGATCTACTGCAGTAGTTTAGGTTACTGAATATGGAATGAGAGAACGCAATTGCCCCATTTTTTTACGCAGGATATTGCTATGATTAGATCTATACACGTTCATATGAACCCCAATATAACCACAAGGAATTCTAACTAACAAGTGGTAATTGGAACCAGGAACACTCTTGTTAAGTGTTGTGATTATAAGATACAACATCACATGACTGCTGACTTCAGTGGCAGTGTTCCAGCAGTACCAGCTGCGGTTATTAGATGAATCTTACGAACTTGGTGTCCCATGGTCACATGAATGCCATTTGTGATAATCTGCTGACTTCTCCATTGATTTTCCTTGTCAGAAACTGGCAGTACAGGTTACAAATGGCAATTACATAACTGCAGCATTGTATTTACAAGTCAGTTGCCAAGTACCTGAGTTACAGTCACATGACCACACCGAAAGTGCAATGGCTTTAAACTCCAGGGACCCCTTGTGAGTCCCCTTCATTAATGTTGTAACTGGTCACTGAACAAGTGGACATTAAACGAAGATTACCTGCATATTTTTGTGAATAATTTGGACTAAGGATTCTGCCCTGTCACAGAACTCTTGATATTGTTTTATCTGATTCCATGGAGTAGGAAAAAAATTCTCCAAATTAGTTAATTATAGGTAGTCCTTGTCTTACAATCGAGCCCAAAATTTCTGTTACTGAGCGACAGTAACCATATTTTTTGGAGTATAAGACGCTTTGGAGTATACGATGCACATTAGTTTTTGGGGAGAAAAGCAAGAAAAAAAATTCTGCCTCTGCCTATCAGCATCCATCTGTATTCATCTGGCTAGTGTCCTTGCCGCAAACAGCCTGGTCAGCTTCAGCATGTTATCGCAACCTGATTCAGCACGAGCAGCTGACTGGCGGTTGAATCGGCCTCTCAGAATACTGTCAATTAGCTGTTCCAGGTTGCGGAAATCACCACAGCCCATCGCCACCACTGCACATTGTGTTTTTGGCCTCTGCACTCTGCATTTTCGACTTCCGCATGCTCTGTTTTAGATCCATTCCAGCCTGCCAGGATCTCCCTAGAATATTGCCGCCTCCGCAGGTCGCGTTTTTGGCTTCCGTGCATCGCGTTTTCAGCCTCCGCATGCCTGTATTTTGGTCTCTGTGTGTCACGTTTCCAGATGGCTCCAGGCAGCGAGGATCGGCAGCAGTGGCAATCCCTGCCACCTAGAATTGGCCGAAAATGCAATGCGTGAAGGCCAAAAATGGAACATGCAGAGGCTGAAAACATGATGCATGGAGGCTGAAAACGTGACGTGCGGCGGTGGCAATCAGTGGCAATCGATGGCTATGTGCTGTGATCCCCACAGCCTGGAACAGGTCTAAAATGGGGTGTGCAGAGGCTGAAAACAGGATGTGCGTAGACTGAAAATGGCTGGTTGGTGGGAATCGGTGGGTGGGCGGGGCCTTGACAACATTCGCTGTATAAGTCGCACAGACATTTCCACCCACTTTTAGGGGAGGGGAAGTGTGTCTTATACTCCAAAAAATACACTGTTAATTTTGCCCCATTTTACAACCTTTCTTGCCACAGTTGTTAAGTGAATCACTATAGTTATTAAATGAATAACATGTCTGTTAAATGAAACTGGCTTTCCCATTGACTTTGCTTATCAGAAGGTCGCAAAAAATGTTCACATGCACTCAGATGCTGCAGCTACCATAAATATGAACTAGTTGCCAAACATCCAAATTTTGATCATGTGACTGGGAATTCTGTAATGGTCGTAAATGTGAAAAACAGTCATAAGTCACTTTTTTCAGTATTCTTGTAACTTTGAACAGTCACTAAATAAATGGGTTGTAAGTCAAGAACTATCTGTATAGATCAGTGGTAGTCAACCTGGTCCCTATCGCCCACTAGTGGGCGTTCCAGCTTTCATGATGGGCGGCGGTAGGGGTTTGCTGTAATTCTGCTTTATGAATTTTATAAAGTAAAGTTACTGCCCTACTTTATAAATCACCATTACTGTGGAACTGGTGGGCGGTTAGAAAATTTTACTACTAACAGAGATACAAAAGTGGGCGGTAGGTATAAAAAGGTTGACTACCCCTGGNAATAATATGGAAGTTCCAGAATGCCCAGTCAACAGGGGCAGATATACTCCTAACATATCTGAAAGGTGCCCGATTCAGGAAGACTCAATTGCACAAATAGTTATCAACTTTACTTATGGGCTTCCAGAAGCCTCTGGATGGTTGATATTGAAATTCAAGAAGTTGGACATGGGAGTGTGATATAATTCACAGAGAGATCTGCAGAAACCAGAGAGATTTGTAAGCCTGCCGGTTCTCTGCATGGGAGAATGACACAGCTAGCAGAGAAACAGTGCGAAGAATGTAGAGAATGCCACTTACCCTGCTGGATGGGGAAACCTAGTAATCTAATCTGCAGATTGTTGTTATTTCAAGACTCTAGAACCACAAGTAACTGTCGAAGCCTGGCAGAATTTCTTTTAGAGGAAACTAGAGGAAGCAATACAATTGGTTGTCAGGCAATTCTCTGAAAAAACACACACCCTTCCTTTCTTTGAGAGAAGGGGTCCTTGGTGCTCACTTAGTTCGGTCGTTTTCTTGCAGTTATTTCATTACCTAAATTAGGTAACATCATCTAGTGCTTAGTGATGACCGCAGCACTGATGATGTTACCTAGTTTGGGTAATGAAACATGCATAACAAAATAACCAAGCTCAGAGAGCATCAAGGGCATAATTTCAGCCCTGGGCTATAAATATTTTCCTTTATTGCATTCTTCAAGAGATAAGTAATGGAAGAGTGGAGTCCTTGTAGCAATTTGCAGTAGTTAACTGCCAGGCTTTGAGACATTGTGTGCTGGTAATGTCCCATGGGAAAATGCTGCCAGCATGGGGGCATCTCCTATTTGTATGGCTCCTCTTCTATGAATGGATAATTGAATTACAGTTTCTTCCCCATTATTTGCCATGCTATGATGAAAGAGATTCTGATAATTGCTCAACAGTTCTCATGTATAATGCACCTAAAAGGCAAACTTGGTTGTAAATCTTATTTCAGAAAAAAAATATTTCAANTTTATTTATTTATCAGCACAATTGATTATATATAATACACACACACACACACACACACACACACACACACACACAGTTGTATATCTACTATTTCCTGATTCCCTGCAATTAAAGTTATTTGCCTAATCTCCTATCTACTTGGAAATTCAGAGTTGAGAAAGAGGATAATATTTTCTGGTAAGACGCACTGACAATACTGATAGAACTTTTAAAAATGCAGTGTTAACTTAAGTTTGCATAATCTGCAGATATTTTAATGCCAAAGGATACTAACAGCACAATCCATTTATTGATTTGATTTATTTATCCCTTTTGTTCAGAAGCTTAAGATGGTATATGTAACATGCAGACTTAATGTCAGATTTTGACAAATTGAAATTGCTGGCATATGTTGCTATTCCATGCTGAAAGCTGAAAGCATTTGAGATTTGTGTACTGCAAACAACATTTGGTTTGCAATTAAGCTGTTCTTAATTTAAGGCTTGGTTTATCTTGTAACTTAATTTATTTTTCTTCAAAGGTCAAACAACATCAACTTCAAGATGCTCCAAAATTCCAAATACAAAATCTGGCTGGTCAAGACAAAAGGAGAAGAAACCCTCAGAGGTTTGTTGATTTTTAAAATATTCTTAGACCCTCTTCTTGGCATTTCTCTATAACTGTTAAGTCATGAACTGCACTCTCAACAAGTGCATGAGTGCAAAACAAAGAAAGTAAATAAGGAAAATAAGTTTGATTTAATTTAGATTAAATTTAGTATAATTAAAATGATTCATTATGTGCCTATTTTTCCCCTTAAGCCATTCTGAAATTACACAAATAGGTTTGCAGTCTCAAGTTTGTGGTTTTGCCTTTGAACTTTCCTCCCCTTCTTGTTATCCTTGTGTTAGACTTCAATTCTTGTAAGACCTAGCTAGCATAAGGAACCTGAGATGATGGCTAGTGCCTTTTCCTCTCCAATTAATCACTAAAGAAAGCTGGATCTGGCACAAGGAACTGCAGAATTCATGCAAAATTTGCTCCAGTATTTTAATTATTTTAAGAAAACGTTTTGTATATGGAATGATCTATTGCATGGGTCCCCAACCCTAGGTCATGTATCGGTACCGATCCATGACTTCTTAGGAAATGGGCTGCACAGCTGGAGGTGAGCGGTGGGTGAGCAAAACTGAACCATTCCCTCCCCCCCCCCCCCCCGGTCCATGGAAAAATTGTCTTTCATGAAACCAGTCCTTGATGCCAAAAAGGGGACCGCTGATTTATTGAACTGATCATAAGCAATCGGGAGACTTCTAGATGAAGGAAATGGGTGTGTAAAAGAAATCATTTATAGGATTGCAGAGTTTAAAATGCATTATTACATGCTGACTCTGCTGACTGCCAGGAGTTTGATCTTGACCAACTTAAGACTGACTCGATCTTCCATCCTTCTAAAGATGTTTACTCTGTAAACCACTATGAAGTGGTATATAAATCTAAATGTTATTGCTATTTATGTAGAGGTCTTTAAAATGTATTTGAGAGAACTGACATCCTAGAAGAAGCTCTCACAGCAGCTTCTCTCAGCTCCATTCACTATTTGACTACAGTATCTTGATGAGCATTCTTCCCAGACCCCAGTTTAGAGCTATTGTGCGCTTTACCACAAAATATCAATATGGCGCACACTGATCCACCAATGCTATCAGACATCTGAAGACAGAAGAACAAACATGGAACAAAAGAAGCGAGGCCTCCGCAAAGCCAGAGCTGCAACAATGGTGCCTACACGTGTCTGCCTGACATGTGGTAGAATGTTTCATGCCCATATAGGCCTTACTAGCCAACTGCGGACACATCATGGACAGCCCACAACCTGTTAGACGTCAAGGTCCTCTTAGAACACGATGGACGAACATATATGTGTCTGAGTAACATCAATAACTTCCCTTGTATTTTATTAGTTTATGTCAGGTAAGAAAGACCCACATGTGAAGGTTCAATTAAACTAATTTACTGCTAAGAGCCTATATGCTGGAATCTTCCCAACTAAGGGCTAGTCCAGAGGTGGTATTCAGCAAGTTCTGATCAGTTCTGGAGAACCAGTAGCAGAAATTTTGAGTAGTTTGGAGAACGGGTAAATATCATCTCCGACTGGCCTCGCCCCCATCTATTTTCTGCCTCCCGAGTCCCAACTGATTGGGAGGGAATGGGGATTTTACAGTATCCTTCCCCTGCCACGCCCACCAAGCCATGCCACACCCACAGAATAAAATTTTGTTATCTTACAATTTACCCAGCTGCCTTTCTGAAGTAAACAGACAGCTCTCAAAGCAGGATGCAACAATGACAATTCAAGATTCCGCTTAAACTTTGAGGTGAAAATTTGGACAATATACTTCTGTCTTCTGAAACTATATAAGGAATAGGAAGTGGGGAAAATTATAGGGAAGTGCTGTTTGTGGGTTGCCATCCACTTACAAGCTGTGAAGTGATCTCCAGATGCACAAACATGTAGTGCTGGCCCCAAGATATTTGTTTGCCTGAAGTAGATCTCAAACGCCTCCTCATTTTTTCTAATTGGAGGCATTTTTGGAAGTATTGTTGCATCATTCAAGCAATAGTAGCTGACATTATTTCAACCTTCTAAAAATGAGTTTGGTGTCATGTCTCTGACAATATCTGCCCATTCTGACCATTTCAGCATGTTTCAGGTTCTGTTTATCTAATAACAGCAGTAATAATAATTTATTAGATTTCAATTCCATCCAACTCCTAGTGGCTTCAGGTGGCTCACAGCAATCAAACAAATTATAAAAAAAGATAAAACGATGGCAAGTGTGATGAAGCGAGAGGTCTCACTCTCCTTTCACAATATTTGGATGAAGATCTAAGTCTTCTTTTAAATAGCATTGGAATGGGGATATCTGGCTGTCAGGGGGAACTTTGTTCCAAAGGACAGGTGCTGCTTCAGCGATGGTGTATTTCTGAGATCATTGATCTACTAAAGCAGCCCCTCTCCAACCATGTTTGAGGCCTAGACTGGGAAAGATTGGTTTAAGGGCAGTTTTACTCGTTACTGCAACATATTATGAACTTTTTGAAAAAGAAAAGTATCTTTGAGACTGCAAGTAATCCTCGCTTAGCGGCCAGTCACTTAATGACTGGTTACGGTTATGACAAGCCTCCCCAGAGGTACTTAATGACCCAGGCCAGAGGTTCTGATGCCACACGCACACACCAGTCACATGATCACATTTTGAGTGGTTGGCAACCAGGTCACTTTTATGGCCATTTGCAGTGTTCCATGGTCACATAAATACAATTTTCAGTGTTTACTTCTGTACTCTAACAAAAAATGTCCATTGAAGAAAATAGGTTCCTTTAACAATTGTGGTGTTTACTTAAAGATGTCTGCAAAACAGATGATAAAATCAGGTGCAGACATGTGGTGGCCTACTTAAGGACAACTATGAATTATGACTGTAAGTGTGGGCTCAGTTACAGGCACTATTTAAATGCACACCTAGTCTGCATATTTCTGACCATTTCAGAAATAGGTCGATATTGAAAAAGAATGCACCGACTTTGGTTAATGGTTTATGACATAATGTATGCACATCAAAGTCAGCTGCAGTAAATAAAGTGAGAAAATCTGCATGTTTCAATCCAAGCTTAGTAGTAATGCTCTGCACTATTCCTGTCATGAGCAGCTTGTTTTAAGAGGATGGTTAGTTATATGCATTTTTCCAGGCTTCTAGCAAGCATATGACACATAAACATCCAACACAAACCTCTAGGGGGATGAGATGAATCACTCATCACAGGCTGAAGGAGAAGGAGTTTGGCTCTTTTAACTACTTCTCGGGGTTGGGCAGCGGTTTCCTCTGGTCATCTGAGGTGTCAGTCTTCATGTCTCTAGGAAATACAATTTCTTGGAATCATGTTCCAGAAACTGCAGAGTAGGAGAACATAAAACTATTGCTGTTCCTTAATAATGCAGTCTGAGGACATTTATTTTGTAGTTCATGGAAAGACCTGCTTCTTCATGCTGAACCTAAAAAACCCTAATATTTTAAATGCGTTTATTTATTGTTTTTCATTCATTCATTCATTCATTCATTCATTCATTCATTCATTCATTCATTCATTCATTCATTCCTGTAGCCACCCATTTCAAACAAGTGACTCTGGTTGGCTTACTTATTGCTGTAGATCACACAAGAACATGTTATAAGTGCATGCACAGTGCTTTTTTTAACATTGGCAAAAATAGTAGAAATAATATTTATCTTTATTTCTTTAATTTTGGAAATTGTCCAATTACCTAACAATAAATAATGAAATTACCTAATAAACAATTGCAACTTAACAGCTCATGCATATAGGTTGCATTATGTATACCAAGTATATACCAATGTACACCAAGTTTACTTAATAAAGGAAGTATTTGTGGAATGATTCTCTTCAAGTTAGACATTATTCCCAAGAGATTTTGAATTTTCAGGTGGAGATTTTTGATATGCATGTATGAATGTGCATAGGTTCAAATCCTTTATTCTAGTTAAGCTACATTTGTTCTGTTTCTGGAATGAAAATTAAGATCCAAGCCATTTGTTTAAAACCCTTATAAAACTATAAAGCAAGAACAGTATTATTTTATCTTCCTATTACCATGGAGTTGGAAGGAACCATTGGAATCATCTACTCCAGTCCTCTGCTGTGCAAACCAATTGAACTATGCTCAGAGATGGAGAGTCACTTCTTCTGTAGATAGACCTTTTCACTGTCATACAGTTCATGCCATCAGGAAGGTTTTCTTTATATGTAAATGAAATAAATAATGCAACTTATATTCATTATTTCTTATCGCAAAATAACAATGCAAAATTTTTCTTGACTATCTTTCCTATTGCATGGTTCACCTCAACTACTGATATGAGATTTCCCCTTTAGTCTTCCTTTCTCTAGATGGGACATGCCACATTCCTTCAACTTGTCCTCTGATTAATACAATCTTTTTTTACTTACTGTAACCTGTCCATATTCTTATGGAAATGTGGTACCCAGAATCATACACAATACTTCAGAGGTGATCACAACAAAGAATAGAGAATAGTATGGATGTTATGCATCTGTGATGCAGCACATCTAATGTAACAGAACTTGTTAGTTCGTCTAACAGCTTTGGGACCTGGGAATTTGAAGGCATTCAGATTAGCCAAATCTTTTATCATTTCTTTGCTGACCTGCACTCTTCTCGGTTTCAGTTTTGTCTAGTCTGTGCTGCTTAAATCATCATTTCCTTTGTATGCAAATAAAGATAGGGCAAAGTAAGAGTTGAGTTCCTCTGCTTTCTCTTGGTCACTTGTTAAAATGTCTCCTTTTGGATTAAATATCATCCCATTGTCTTGTTTTTCTTTCTTTTCCTGGCATATTTGAAGAAGCATTCTTGCTGATTTTGCCTTTCTCACTAATCTTAGCTCATCTTCTTTCATGGCTTTTTCAGGCTTCAGTTATCTGCTTTAATAAATATTCATCTGCTACTTTAATGGGTTAATGGTCTGTAGCAGATACCTAGCAAGATATCTCTTCCCTCAGCTTGGCCTTTATCTTATCAGATTCTT